TATCTATCTATCTATCTATCTATCTATCTATCTATCTATCTATCTATCTATCTATCTATCTATCTATCTATCTATCTATCTATCTGTCTATCTGTCTATCTATCTATCTGTCTATCTTTCTTGAATTCATTCTAATGGACCAATTTCCTTCATGTCTTTTCTAATCTTCTCGTTCTTGTTTCTCATAACATTCTTTACTGTCTATACAGTAGCACTAAATAGCTAGGGTAGAGGTCAGCCAGCTTAGCATTTTTTGGGGTCTTGTGCGGTTATCTACAGTAAAAGGTTGTTTGCTGTCATCTGGTAAGTATTACATTTCTTGTTGCAATCATCTAAAGTGGCACTTGCCTCAAGGTTACTTAGACTTAAAGAGATAAATACCGCACCGCGTACGACCCAGTTCATAGCTGTGTGCAAGCGTCTCTGTATGTACCTGTTTTGTGCGTAGGATCAGTGCGTAGGATAAGTAGGTGCATTCACAATGCTTTTATTCTTTAGATGACTCATATACATAACTATCTAAACACACACAGAGTTAACCTAAACCAGCATGCCACTGAAAAACTCCTGCCCCATCAAAAGACATCCTTGCATAAGCACACACAAACACATACACACACACCATGGTCCTTTGCTGTGCTGACTGTGCTCTTGTCTTCCTTCAAGGTCTGGCACACCTGATGATTGGCGACCAAGGTATGGCATCCTCTTACCTCACTTCCTGTTGTCCTCTGCTCTTCCATCACCCCACACCTCCCATCATCACCTCCTCCTCCTCACATTCCTACACAAAACCCCTTTTTTATCCCTCCTCCATCTCATCAACACCGGTGCGGATGGAAGTTGTTTCTCTAGGCACAGAACTCAGGTCAGTCCTTTATGAGATACTGAATATTTTTAAGTTGTTATACAAAGATATAACTTTAATTGAAGCTTTAACCTCTTAACCTGCAAGCAACTTTCAGTACAGATATGTTTACACACACACACACACATATATGTATATATATATGTGTGTGTGTGTATATATATATATATATATATATATATATATATATACACACACATATATGATTGACAGAGGCCTCGAGCTTAAGGACATGTGAAGTTTAAGGACATGTGACCCACTGGATGGCTGATGGTTTGAATTGGTTTTTCTTCCTTTGGTTTCCCCTTATCCATATGTTGGGGTTTAACTGTAAAAATGTGGTGTGTGTGCGTGCATAATGCTTTTACATATGCTAATGCATGCCTTTATACAAATCAACGGCAGTTCTCACTGCAATCCTCCATTCTGCATCAGCTTCCAGCATGTCTCTTTTGTGCCACCACCGTCGCTCCAAAGGGCTCCTGATCATACGCCAGCAAGCGCATGTGATCCCGTTCAGCTGTTTGCTACAGTGTCAAAGCAAAGCTGTTAAATTCTAGCCACCATCTAGCCCATTGTTTTTGAAAGCAGCCCAAAAACAAGAGCCACCACTCCTCTGCTTAAAAAAACAAAAATAAAACAGTTTTTTTGATAACCAGAACTCATAGTGGCACCGTTTCATTGTTCTTTCTTTCTTTGTTCCTGCCCTCTTTCTCCCTGTTTGGGACACCAACCCCTCTGTGATTTTAGGAAAACTCAGAGGTACACCTATGATTTATTTATCTGTTTGGTTACTGAGCTGTTATGGATGGTGAAGACATTGCTGAATGTGTTGACAGGCTCTTGACTGTGCAGTAAATGCAGACCTTCAGAGCTTCTCTGCAACAGATTTTATATATTTAAGATAGAATTGGATTGTGCCATTTTTGTTAAGGTAAGGTGTTGAGGCATGAAAGTGAAAGTGTGCGAGTGTGTCTGTCTGCATGTGTGCAAATGAATAGAAGCTCCGGCCTACTGTGCTTTTGAAAATGTGAAAATCTGAAGGTAGGTGCCATTCGGCCGTTTGTTCTTTCAGCTCTGCATGACGCTGATGAATACACTGATTGGTTCACATGATGACAAGCCTGACCATGACGGGCTATTGTGCTCTCTGATTGGGCAAAAGTAGACATAGTGATGGCTATGGCACATAGAGAGAAGTTGTGCATTTTCTGCAATGTGCTATGGAATAGAGGAAAAAAAGAAAATAAGAAAAAAGATGGAAGATAAAAACATATGAATGCAATAAATAATTATCTGCTTAATGAGAGTTATTTATACTCCAACTATACTTTCATTGTTGTTGTTTCCCCCGGTTTTGTAATTTAAGTGCCTTGCAAAAGTAGTTATGTGCTCTGAACTTCTTTCACAATTGGTCCTGTCTCAACCTTAAACCTCAAACAAGAGGATTTTTTTGAGTATCTAGAAAACTTAAGGTAAATTTTACATTTTTGTTTTTATAAATTACAATAGCACAGTTAACAAAGTAACTGAGACTCATGCTTTCTGGATAGAGAGCCTCTGTAAACATAAATTGTTTGGTCTTGCTGCAGATTTTCATTTAGGTTTAGGTCTGAGTGTTGACTAGGTAATTCTAATACATCAACAGGCTTTAAAATAAAACCATCCCATTGTAGCTCTCTCTGTATGTTTGAGGTTCTCTTGGTGGAAGGTGAACTTCAGACCCAGTCTCAACTCTTCTGAAATATCTAAGAGGTTTTCTATCTTGATTTCTTTTGTATTTAGCTCCATCTATCTTCCTATTAATTCTGAACAGCTTTACTATCCCCACTGAAGAAAAGCCATCTGATAGCGTAATGCTCCCAGCACTATTAGTATGTTTTTGGCTTAAGTTTACCCTCAGTTTCAGTCCGATGGCTGTTTAATCCACATAGCCTTTCAAAAGAGAACTTTGTATGGCTTTATTTTTGGCACTGATTTAAAAAATGAACAAGTAATAATGTTATATTCACACTCCGCTACCTGTTCTGTGGATCTCTGTAGCTCTTTCACAGTTACCTCTTTCGTGTTTTTCTGATAATCTCTCCTTTTTTCCAGTCTGTCACTTAATATAATTCATTTTTTATAGCCTTCGACTGCTAATGGTTCTCTATCAGCAGTTGAAAGCTTGGAATACAATTCCATGACATACCCGTACTTTGAATTTCATCCTGGACCTGTGTTTGGGTCTTCACAGTGCTGCTTGACCACTAACAAACATCTAAGGCTTTAAAAGGCAATTGACAATTGGATTTTATTTTAAGGTATCAAACTTAATGAATGCCAAACCTTTAATATTTTCTTTCCATTTCAATAGTATGCACTTCTTTGTGATGGTCAATCAGATATCATTTAAAAAAAGATTTGAATGCTTTTTTAGCTATATGTGACGAATGATGAAAAAAAAGTCCATAGGGAGCAAATACTTTTATAAGGCGCTGTAAATAAGCTCATAATGCCATGTTCTGCCACAAAATGTCTGTATTGATTCACGCAGGTGGCAGTAAAATTTTAATTGCCTAATCTGGCTTATGCTCCACATTTTAAATCACCTGCTTAGTTACTGTCAAGTATTAACATATGTTTCTAGCATTATTACATGATGTATTCTGTGTGTTTGTTTGTCAGTGCCCCTCACTATGAGGTGTGTTTGGATAGCGATAGGCTAAATGTATGGCTGCTTTTTTTCCCCTCCGCCTTTGAAGGCACACATGAAAGGCGGCATGTGTTTTTGTGTTCTGCATACTGAGATGTAAAGGCTGTCAAATGGTGCAGACGAAGCCTAGCCTAGGTTAGTTTGGCGTAAAGAGGCTTTTTGAGGAGCCCGCATCACTGAAATGAGTTTCCTTGAGGGGGTGGATGGGGTGTGCAGAAGGTTGTCTTGAAAAGATATAGAGCGAGTGTGTGTGTGTGTATGTGTGTGTGTGGGCAGCACAAATTGCGAAAAAAGACAGCGTCTCTGAGAAAAGACCTAAAGAAATGAATGATAGAGGGAGGGAGGGAGAGAGAGAGGGGAAAAGCGAGAGATAAAGTGAGTCGTCTTCTCGCTCCTGTGATGTAGAGCAGCTGGCTGTATCTGCAAAGCGGCAGTGACGCTCCTGCCTGCCCTCCTGGTCCAGTCATTCTCCAAGGGACATCAGCCCTGATGGGGAGCGGTGGACCTTTCCCCTCCTTCATAACACACAGTTATCATTCTCCCTGGAAATGATACTCACAGATCACTAATCACTTTGAGTGGGTGAAACGCAACCAATTGTGGAAGGAAGGAAGACAGAAAAGAGGCAGCCAAATTGGATTTTCATAAGTATGGAGCAGCCAAAGGAAGAAGGGGGAATGGATTATTTTTTTTCAAAGTATTGAGCAGCAATAATCTGGATGGAAAATGTGCTTAAAACCAAGTAGCAGATTTTGTATTTTTCTCTTTTCTTTGCTTAGCCAAGAACTGCACCAGATGAATGAGTGATTACAGTTTTTGAATAACTTTATCTATACATAAATATACTTCGTCAATAGACACAACCTGAGAGTCTATGCTGATTACGCTAACTAATGTTTAGTTTTAGTCACACGCTTATGACTAACATATATTTAATCACAATTAATTCTCTTTTGGCTTTTAAAAAATTGCCAAATTTAATCTATTCAATTCTTATAAATGTGCTTTTAGGCTCTCTGAAATTATTTCCATCTAATGATTAACTTAAATAGTTAGATAGTAAAGTTGCGCAAAACCAACATGATCTGACTTATTTTCATCTTTCATCTTTATTCTTTTAGGGAAATGTAAATTTTTTTTTTTTTTTACAATTTTGGTCTTTTTCACATTAGTTTTGATTTATTTGCATTTGATAAAGAAAGTCATTATAAAAAAATAGAACCAAACAAAAGAAATTATTCAACAGATCTGATACTGATGATAGGACCGATTAATCGTTATGACATGCTATCTGAAAATTGAACAGGTGTGCCTAATAAAGTGGCGAGGGAGTTCTTTTCGTCATCTTTTAAGCTCCGAGGCACAATGTCAACTTAATAATGGATGTTTGTTTGCAGTCTGTCCAAATATTCTCAATATCAATCCAAGAATCTATGCACAACCTGGACATGTGGTCAGCCTCGCTTGAAGTGACCTTTAAAAGTACGTGAACGGATGGACAAACGGACACACACTCACACACAATAACCTTTAGAGAGTGCCTGCTGAGTGTGTGAGCTGGTGTGTGCTGGGTGTAAATATGCATGAGTAAGGCTGCCTGCACATATTCTTCATGGTCAGTGGATGAAGGCAGGAGAGGGATTGAGGCTGTATTGGGTTGAGTGTGTGTGTTTGTTCAGGGGAGGTGGATTGTGAGTCATCATTTGTGACTCATAAAGCGTCGGCAACCAAAAATGCTCTTTCTAACACATTGTTTTGTGGGAGAAACGCGCATATGGGGGATGCACTCCACTCAATAACAGGGCACATGTTCAATGTCACACTTTTGAGATTTCTCTTAGAATTGTTTGCTGGAGTTTTTTTTTGTGCTTTTTTTCTTTGGTCTTTTCCGCCACCCATTGCTTTATCCTGGACGTATGCATATCTTATAAACACAGAAAAAGCACAGAGAGCCGCAGCAGACGTGCTGCATGCTGACTTCACCATATGTGGGGTTGGGAGTGGTAGCAGGCGCCAAGGCAAGAAGAACCAGTCAGTACCAGCATTGCACAACATGTCTCCTCGTCTTACTCATCAACATGTACAGTCCTAATAATAAATCCGCCCCTGAGGATTAAACAAACGAAACTTATTTTAATGAGTTAAACACCCTTTTAACAACTCCTATGCAGGATGTTGCTGAATGACAGAAGCAAGATTTAATTCACTTTTATTATAATTAGTATTCTTAAATATCATATTTCTATACATTTTATACAACTTAGTTCCTAAATACAACCTGAAATTACAATGTCACTGCTGACTATTACAATGGCAGCATTGCTCTCATTTTTCATTATTCATTTAAACATTCCTTTGCGATTGCGTCGTTGCAGATCAGGCTATCTTGCGTTGATACCAATTTGGGGTTTCTTTTTAGGTCTGATCTGCCAATTCAAATCAGCTTGTAAGCTATGCCTGAAAGCAACAATGGGAAACTTTAAGAGCATATAGAGATCTACTGTCCTATTGTTACTCAAACCTTCGAGCTGCATTGCACACACAATCCTGGTGGAACCAAGTCAGGTTGAAGGTACATGTTCAATCAAATGATTGGACTGCACTTAGATCAAATTTAGATTGGATGAGATTAACATTATGTGAACACGACATTGTTTTTCGAAACAAAGAATAGGAATAAAAGCCGAATAAATGTCAGAATTTTGAGTCTCAATCATTAAATTAATAAAGGTAAATTGATGCCATATTTAATTATATTCAAAGTATTTTATAAATCACGTCATCATTACGGTCATTATCTGTTTATAAAGCATGAAAAACAGTGGTTTACAGGCACATAAGAACCAAAAGGAGGAGGCAATAGGTTATACGAAAGCAAAAATTAAAACACAAGATTGATAGTACAAGCAATATAGTTCACAATCAAAAGTAAAGAAACAATACAACTGGCCTAATTGTTGTGCCCTCTAAAGTTAGCCTCCATTCTGGGTTCCTGAGCAAGACTCTAAACCCCCGATTGGTCCCCGGGCACCGTACAATGAAAGCCCACTGCTCCCCAAGGGGACGG